TACAGGGACCTTTCAACAGAAAACATACTGCTTTGGTTTTATCTCCTTTGCTGGATATGTTAAAATACGCATCTACTCAATGCTCTATGAGGTAAATACACTGAATCAAGTGGCCACTCTATATAGATCCAGCTTGCAATCTCTTGGGTCGCTCCCCATCTTCTTCTTTGCTGGTAAAGAGTTACCTCTCAACACAAAGCAAGGGCATGGCAGGTGGATTCACCCAAGGTGCCAACATTTCATCCTCCTGGTGTCCTCCCCATCTGCTTAACTCCGGGGCTCTCCACTGTGCCTAGCCATGTGGCTCTGCTTCTGGTGCATGCTGGTCAGCATGAAGCAAGCAGATTTGAAAGGAACTGTGGGACCAGGCATGGTTGTTGCTCGTTGCCACCTTCATGAAAATACTGGGTTAGTGTGATGCAGGGAAAAAAGTCCCTGGAAAAATGTTCTCTCTCCAGTGTAGGCCAACTCCCCAGAGAGCCAGGCAAGACTAGAACCGCCCTGGATACACCCAGCTGCAATCAGTGGTTGACCTTGGAAACTAAACATTATTGCTCAATAAACATTGTCCCTTTGTGTTTTTTGTGGTTTTTCTGCATTACTTTTGTGGCATTAGACAACTGCCCTATTAGGTCTTAATTTGACATCTCTGAGTTTGAAATCTATTTTGCAACTTTTCTGAGAGCATTTGTTAGTAAAGAAGGTGGTCATCTCCTATTATTTTGTAGACTGCAGCCATCTAATACTGAGCATCTCCTTTGTGCTGAAGGCTCTCAAGTACTCTGATTCTATCTTCTTAACCACCCTGAAAATTAATTTCCTCATTTTGGAGAATTTGAGAAAATGAGGCACTTTGAAGCTGACTGATGAAATGATTTATCCAAAGTCACACAAATGGGCATAATCAGGGTCCAAGCCCCTAGACCTCTGAGTCCAATTGTATTTTCCATTACATCAGAAATGATAACCAAAGCTTAAAGCTAGTAGGATGTTATTCTGTCCACATCACTGAATAGTGAAAAAAGTTTGTTTAAAGAAGGCAATTGAGTTACAGTGCTGTTTTAGTCAAGCTTTCTATCCTTATCACTCTTGGTTAAATAGCTTTTAAGGTATTTTTTCCTGTTGAGAAACACGTCACAAAACCAAGTCCTCCTCCACTTCCAAGTTTAAATGATTTTAAGTTCGAAACTCCTTCTAGCCAATCACAGATTATATATAAATTGTGAATCTAAAGACTATTCCTTGGTGGCAATACAGGTTAGAAAAGAAAGCATACTGTATAACAGATATAAAATGGAAGATGATGGATACATCATTCTTGTTTAAGAATAATCTTTAAAAAATGATGGGGCTGGGGATGTGGCTCAAGCGGTAGCACGCTCGCCTGGCATGCGTGCGGCCCGGGTTCGATCCTCAGCACCACATACAAAGATGTTGTGTCCGCCGATAACTAAAAAATAAATACTAAAATTCTTTCTCTCTCTTTAAAAAAAATAAAAAAATAAATAAAAAATGAAAGCAAGGGGCTGGGGCTGAGGTAGAGCACTCGCCTAGCATGTGTGAGGCACTGGGTTTGATCCTCAGAACCACACAAAAAAATAAAAGATCGTGTCCACCTATAACTAAAAAAATGAAAGCAAGGCAGATTCTTGGGTATTGAATTTCACTGCATAATCCAGGTTTTATGCCAAATTCACTTATTTATTTTGGGCAAAAAAGTGGGGTACTACTCATTATGTGAAGCTTTTATTTAAAAATGTGTTGATATTACTTAAAATCATTTATTACTTAACTGTCTTTGGTGCCATACTAGGATGCATGCTAGTGAATGGATGTTAATGCTGTGGCAAGGGTTATGTGGTGAAATACCGGCTCTCTTTGAAAGTTCAGTTCTTAAAAATATAGAAACAAATCAATTCAGTATCCTAAGATAAGGGAGTTTTCTAAAGGTTTAATTGCAGGAGGTTAGGAGTAGACTAGAAAACAGGGGAGAGACATAAGTTGACATTTTGGCAAATAAAAATTGTGCCATATCTTACAAAGAAACTGTTAGAAACTCTGAACAACAAAATCTGCCAAATCTAGCTATACTTTATTAAGTACATTTGATTTTAAGTATCTGATTATTGGAATAAAAATCAGGAAATTAATGCTTTAGTAAAAAGGTTAAACTTTTACAGTGTCACACTTACCTGGGGTTTTCATTTTAGAATTAAAAAAAAAAATGTCCCCTTTGCCTCTTACTTCCTTTATGCGTGTAGCTTTTTGCAGAAAATACTTCCTTTAACAACTTCAGGGCAGAGCAAGAAACCACAGTGCTTTGCAGGCCACTAATTCTGTTACAGATGAAAGCATTCAATTATCTCTATAAAATTCAGTTCCTTAGAAAATGTGTTTGTGATTGACTAAGTATGTTCTTAAAATGCGGGTATACCACATTATTCAAGATCTTAATTTAAAAGTTGGAATGAAGTAGTTTGTGGTTCTTGGGTAAAACAAAGACACTAATCTGCTTTTTTAATATAAAAGGGCAACCTAGACATTCCTATAAAATACTTTATTCCAGATGGTAAACGAGGCTTGTTTAAATCTACATTTGTACCACCGCAACCAAACAATATTTTAAAAATACAACCATTTAAAAGTGAGCAATCACTTATATTAAAATGTTATTTACATGGCACTGATGTGATCAAATACTGCCAATAACAAGAGTCAATATAGATCTCTCATGCAAAGAACCTTAAGATTTAAAATCAGAGTAAGTGAATTGCCAGTGTAGTTCAAGATGGGTGGTCTCAATACAGAATCCCTATTGGGCAGCTGCTGCAGCCTCTGAAGATTTGCTACTATCAGAATGACCACTCTGCTTAAAATTTCAGGAGGTTCTTTAGATGAACAAACTTCAGCTGTTATATAGAGTCCAGTATGCTGCAGGTCACACCTTCCCTACCCTCCCCGCCATCCTCGCCTAGGTCATGGCTGGCACTCTCACCATTGCTGCCAACTGAATGTTCAGGAGACCAATCTCACTGTAGATTGCAAAACCCAAGGTACAACAATCTACAGCATTTACCTCCCACTTTCTAGCTTTACTCTAAGTGGGTTTAACAGTAGCATCTGCTTGGCTTGTGGTAGTCAGTTTTCTGTTCACCATAGTTCAGTTATGTCTGTTTTTCATGCACCTTCATTCCTAAAATCAAGAGTTGCTCCAAAATCTTTTTGACCACTTCAGAAAGTCCTCTCCATACCTCCAAACTAAATGCATCCTTGTATACTTAACTTACTTTGTCCATGTTCTTCCTGGACTACATTGTTCAGAAGCACCTTCTCCTTCCTCTAATCACATCTCTTCCCTAAACTACTTAAATTTTACAGTAGTCTTATTACCACATAGCATTAAGAAAGGCAGAGACAGCCAATATTAACCACTGAAGACACATTGTAAAAACTGGCAAACAACTTTGTCAAATTCCATTTATGCTATAACCAGTAAGATAATGCAGCTTAACCCGGAGCAGAGTAAGAGTCTACTTTTGGGAAACTCTCCAAGAAGCACACTTGGCCCATTGCTGACTTCTCCTTGAACTTGTTCCTCTGATTCAGTGTTCTTGCCTTCTATTAATGTGGTTGATTTTATGAATAAAACTATCAGTTTAAACTGATTCTCCAAGTGTTTAAATACCTACTCATTGCAGCTGCAGAATTTTCATTGTGTGTGACATCTCCATTTTTATTCCGTGTCTTATACTGTTTCTAGTTTTTAGATCGGTCTCATTGGATATTGTGATGAAAAGGACAAGTAGCTCAAAAAGAAAAGTGAACAAGTATGTGGTGAAAACATGCTTTTGAATAGTAGATGAACAGTCTTTAGCTCCTGGACATACCTGGTGTTAAAATGATACTGGATTCCATCAATTTGAAATTATGCTTGCTTCCCACACCAAAGGCTTTCAAACTATTGGGAAGCAAATAGGGGGAAAAAGACATACCAAGTAGGGAAACTGCCGAAGAAAGACCTTAGTTGTCGTCCCCTACTCTTTAGCCACTTGATGAGCATGTGGGATGGTAAGACACCAGGGTCATTCGTCTCCCACTGCAGGTAACCAGTGTCCCCAAAGAAGGACACCTAGCAGACGCGCTTCCAGAATAAGGAAACAGTAAAGAAGGATCTCCAGTTGTCTGTTAACTGAAGGGATGTTGTAGCTCAATGTTGAAAAGTGCCTTTTTGGACTGTTAACAGTGACCTATTGCAGCAATTTTAGAACTCAGCCTGCTTAGGTTTTTTTTTTTTTTTTTTTGCAAATAAAAAACTGATGAAACTATGCTGATCTCTGGGCTGCTCAATGCCAAACAGGACAATGTGCTTTAGTTTTCTGAGGTCCCCTTTTCATTGTACCCTAAAGCAAGTTTTGTCTAAAATTATTTGAAGGAGCAGCCTGCTAACCGGAAAAACACTCATCTACTTACAACCTGAGCTCTTGTAAAGTACCGAGAGATTCTAGCTGATCTAAAAAGTTCCCTGAGTTTTTCAATTATCTTATTACTAGTTATGAGATTATGTCCACTATTTTTCAATGGGGCCTTTGAAAAACAGGATTTGCGCTTTTTTTCTTGTGCTGAGTGTATTTTGACAGTAAACTTAAAGTTCACCCTCTAATTTGTGTACAACTAGATCTTGTCTATTAGAACACTCATTTGGCACAAGCAAGCTATGAAATAAGCTAAAATGCATAACTAGGGCTGTGTGGCGTGTGCGGTGTTTGTTTATATAAAGCAGTACCTACCTGAGAGAGAGAAGGGACAGTCTTTTTGTGTTAACACTGAATTTAAAAAACAAAAAAGATCCACCCTTAAGAGCATACATATACGAAGTACATACAACAATTTTGTATTCATATAGTTTAGGCAGTGGATACGAAAATGTAATCCCCTTTGTAAAAAGATCATTTTAAACCAAAATCAATTAAAACATTACAAATCAGTCCCATAACATGATCAACAACTCAAATGGCTTTCTTTTTAATGCTAGGATAACCGTCCATCTTTCAATGGCAACAGTACTGTTAACACAGGTAAAAGTAAACAACATAAAAAGTGAAAGCACACACAGTTGCACACAAATATATATATAAAAATTGACCAGAAATCACAGGACATTTAAGCAATGTTTTCTTAAGCAGAACTATTTAATACTTTAAATAGACTAAAATATTTGGTGTGGGCGGGGGAAGGAAATCAGTATGTCACAATTTCAACTTGAAAACCAGATGTAATAAAGCCTCAGCTCACTGTTCAATTAAAAAAAAAAAAAGGAACCACATCAATTTTCTGACAACCATAGGAGAAAAGCTTACAAAGAACACACTTAAGTCTCCATTGCGGTGCACGGAGGATGCAGCCAAAGGACTAGTAGAGAGGAGCAAGAGGAGTCCACATCCATCGTACTGCAGCACGGTGATGCTGCCTCAGAAAATCTCAGCTCACACGCTCAGAGTTCAGCTGGGAAGCACCTAAGGAGTAGGAGGACTTATGATTGGAGAGCAGATGGGTCAGTCTATAACCAGGACACCCAATCCTTCACCTGTTATTTGCTGATGGTGTTTAATAATTTCAATACACAACATTCACCAAAAATAAAATACCACATTCTGGTTTCGTGAGAGGAGACTACAAGATGTAAGAGAGGTCAGAGCATCAAAGGCCATATATTCCCTCTGAGAGAAATCCACAACCACACGCAAGTTTTTGTTTACTGTGAAAAATTTAAATTTCACATTAAATTTAACCCCCGAAAGAAACGTGATTTGTACTGAATATACACATATTCTCAAGAACTTGGCTGTCTAGTTGTCCCCTCTATATACCACTTTTCACCCAGTTACCATTCCTGGGTCACCCTTATCTCATCATTTTGGTGCTTTTAGCTATTATTCCATTCACAATAAGTGCCTAGAGGATACATACCTTAGAATTAGAAACATTGACAACCATAGTAGCAACCATAACTAGGTCAGGGAGTAAGGGTTCATCACGGGAACACCTGAGGTAGTCACCTCTTTCTGGGTCTTGCCTAGTTCTTGTACTGAGAGTCCTGCATCCAGGAAACCCCTCAGTCCAGGCACATGAGGGCAGCTGGTCACCCTAAGGACACCTCCCTTAACATCACTAACAAAAAGTTAAGAATTTCTCAAAGTATAAGGCTACTTTTAAGGACATCAGCCCCCCAAATGTTTTTAGCTCACTTGCTAAAATGGCTAGTTCCTCAAACTTACTAAAAGGTTATTAGTTCAGAATTGCCTTACTTAATGATGTGAAATATAAAAACATTTGTGAGTACCCAATTTAGTGAGCAGTTTAATCAAAATTCACCCATGAAAACTGTTTCCAGACAAACCTTCCAAAGGTTCTTCTGGCTTTGTCCAGTTACATAGTATTTGACTGTATGTTTTCTAGATTTTTCAGAGCTAAGTGCATAATCCAATTCTGTATGCCTTTTCTTACTCTTTAGGTGAAAACATTCAGTGCCAACTATTGCCCACATTCTTGCTTTACAGATTGAAAAGAAGACTGCCAACTGCAGGGTATTTCCAAAAACCCAGAATTATGTTACTTTTAACTGTGCTCTACCAGAAAATCTGGCCTCAGGGCGAAATTGCAAAAAATATACTCAGATATGAACATTTTTATTTTGTCTACAATGCTGTGACTGCAGTTCAAAGACTGCAGAAGTGCTTTCAACTTAATCTCTGCAGTTTTTCTTGTATTAACCTCTTACACAAAATGTTTAGTGTCACAGCATCACTATCACCAATAAAGACACATAAATATTTATGCCTTAAAGTCAGGGTCAAAAAAGCAAACATGAAGCCTGAGGTAATGTGGCCTAAAAAAAAATGCCCAATCAGAATTCTGCATTTTGCCAAGAAATATTGGATTAAAAATGCATGCATGTTACTTAATTGCTACATATAATTATTTCTCCTGATTTAAAGTAGTCTGTGAGCATATGAGTTATATAAAGCAACAAAATGACTACATTCTTAAGGCAATGACATAAATTTACAAGGAAAGAACCCTATCCTTTCTCCCCAAATTTCTTTTCAGCTTGAACAATCCAATATGAATAAGAAAGACAAACGGCTATTTTCTGAGGAAAATGAAAATTTCACTGGAAGAAGTAAGACTCTTCTTCCTATAGACAAACGGTAAGAACCAACTTTTTGCTACAACACTGTGAAGGGCAGAATTTAATATAGAACTAGAAATATGGCAAGTTACCTAGTGACTAACATTGTAAAATAGCCAAAAATGTAAAAGCCACAGGGAGAAAGAATAGTCAATTGTGAAATGGAAAATACATAATATTTAAGTATTTTTATAATTCTAAAACTTTACTTTTGTCCTTAAAAATCAATATATTATGAATTTTGTTGTTTAATAACTTATCTTTAATTACAAATAAAAGCAAATCCCTGTTTCCTATCCCAAAAGAGCAAACTGGGAAGTTTGGAAAAGAATTCTAATTTTTCTGAAAGATAATAAAATTTCAATAGGACATTATTCTAAAAAAAAAAACAAAAAACTCAAAGCCCTCCGTGTGGAGTTAATGAATCCTTGTCACCTCTATCATCAGCTGCATTATTTTTCCAAGGAATCTTTTACATCTCAATAGTGAAATTTTGGTACTATTCTGGACCTCATGGCAGCAAGCCAACTGATATTGATGTTAATGTGGGTTAATACACCCTGGCCAGGTCTTCTCTGGTCAGGAACAGTCCCAAGAAACATCCAAAAATCCATTTCTGTGAATACAGCTAAGAAAATAGGCCAGAACCACCTTCAAGCTATCAGTAGATACGGAAGGTCTTTACCTTGTGGTGGTACCTTCCAGGCATCTCAGGCAGCAATCTTTTGATTGCTGAGCCATATCCCTAGCCCTATTTTGTATTTTATTTAGACACAGGGTCTCTCACTGAGTTGCTCAGAGCGTTGCTTTGCTGAGGCTGGCTTTGAACTCGCCATCCTCCTGCCTTAGCCTCCCGAGCCACTGGGATTACAGGTGTGCGCCACCATGCCCGGTTCAAGCAGCAATTTAAAGGGGACAGAAAGGAACTAAGTGGGGAGCAACTTAACAAAAAAGTTCATACTAGGTCTGTACATTCCAGAGACTACTGGATGTATAATAACTTGGTGAAGGGGTATATGACAAAGCTTTATTTGACATTAATGAATTCCATTTATTACTGTTGTCAAGCTGCCTAAAAAATGACGTGCTAAGCTGCCAAATTAGGACTTTGGAAGGTATGGTGGTATGGGCCTGCAATGCCAGCACCTCAGGAGGCTAAGGCAGCAGGATTTCAAGTTCAAGGTCAGCTTCAGCAAGTTAGCAAGACTCGGTGTCAATAAAAGAGCTGGGAACATCTCTCAGTGGTACAACACTCCGGGGTTCAATCCTCAGTATGGCCTGACTCCCACCTCTAATTATGCTAATGAAAATTACACTGATGGTTCATCCATGGAACAAAAATGTCTACAAGCAAGTGAAGAACTTTTTCCTGGGATCTGAGATTTAAACAGTGAATCACACATCATTGTTAAAATGACCCCAACTGATAATTTTTCTATGAGTGTATGTGTATTTAAATTTGTATGCTTTACTTCCTACTAAAAAGTGTGAGGCAGTTCTGCTATAATGCAAAGGTAGCTATAATATCCAAGATAGAACACTCTCCTACTCAAGAAATTACATGAACACTTGAGAGAAGTTCTTATTATAAAGGCAGTCACAAGACTAGTATAGCTCACATTTCCCAGCTGTTGAGGCTCAAAACTCAGCAATTGTACTCCCAAAAGATAATTTGCCCCTTAATCCCAGCACACAAAAGGTAGTCCAAACAGAATATTCATGAAAACTTGAATAGGAAGGTAGAGATGGAACTCAATAGCAGGATTCTGACTCTCTGGAGACCACACACCATTGTCTTCCTGATCCGTACTAAATAACAACAATCCAGTGCTCTGAGATAGAAGAAGGCTGGTATGAAAGGGAAATTACTGGCTGCAAGTGGCAGAAAAGTCCATAATCTTAAATATAACTTAAAATAGAATCTGATAATTTGCTACTTGACAGTCACAAAGGCATTTAACTGGACAGAATTTCAGAGTCATTTATAAGATTAAAGCAGTGTACCAATTTTAGTACTAACATTCTTGGTTTAAAAAAAAAATGAAGACAGAATATGAAAGCACCCTCCTTTTCTGGATTACAGTAAAATTCAAAGGAGAGAGACATTCTGATTCTGCAGATAAAATACAAATTGACAGGGGAAAGAACAATCAGCAAGTACCACTTGGATACATGTTGTCAGAGGGTAAGAAAAATAAAATTCAGTTGAGGAATATAAAGGATTTAGCAAAGTAAAGCATATGAAGAAAATGGGCAATAATTTGATTGATTCAAACATCAATGCCTTAGATCAGAGTTAAGAGGAAAGATCCCTGGTTGCTTATACCCATGGATTAGTGAGTTATCTAGAGATACTCTGGAGGCTGGGGCTCAGTGGTAGAGTGCTTACCTAGTGTGCAAAAGGCCCTGGGTCTCTCCCCAGCACTGGGGTGGCAGGGGGGGATACTTGGGGAGATGGCCAGAAGGGGACAAATAGGAATGTTCATCTTTAAACCAAAGACTGTACATAAAGATAAATTTTAAGTACAGTGAAGATTGTCTTGTGTTACTTTATATCTATAAGATCAAAAGGATGCCTAACACAGAATAAATGCTCAAACTATTTAGTAATTTTTTAAAATGATAGATTTTCAAGGTCTATATGGGCAGTTTTTGGAAGAGGTAGAAAATCAACTGGGTATATACTTTCTTTTATTTGATTTCAACCAGCAAGAGACTAGACTGATTGTTTTTCACTTTCAAAGTCTTAGTCTTAACCAAAACTTACAACAAAGGTATAAATAAAGTGAAATTAAAATAATTTTAACAAAGGAGAAAATTTGAAGATGTTCAAAGATGGATCAAATAAAATAGCATATGGTTTAAGGTAAAAAATATAACTAGATATTAAATAATTTGCAAATATGGACTCAGAATACAGAGTAAGAGTACATAAATGGAATACTTAGCATTTAAGAAAAATCAGGCAGATTTTTTTCTGGCAAAGTGACAGGTCTGAGAGCAACTAAGCCCCACACATTAAGCCCCATTGGAGGCCAGAACCATATCCTAGTCATCTTTTTATTATTCAATATCTGTCACAGTGGCTGGATAAACATAGGTATCAATAAGTGTTCACTGACTGAATGTATACTATAATTGGCATAGTTCAGACCTTACCAGGAAAGCTTCTTTAAACAGGATGAAAGAGCACAATTCAGTGGTATTCCAAAAGACTGGCCCAAATCCAGATTTATTTTCTAACTTGGGTATAAAGACTTTTCAAATTTTATTCTTAAAAAAGCAATCAAACTCTTTTTTGAAATATCAGACAGAACTCCAATATAAAATAAGCTGCCACTGATTGAACCAAAGTCAGTGGGAACAGCATTAGCCTCTACACCCTAAGCCAGCCTCACAGCGTCTTTGTGGAGCTGCTGGGAAAATCCCAACTCATTTTAGAACTGGGTTAGCAGCATGGCGATCTAGTTCCCAGGGTGTTACAGTGCAGATACCACCAGTACCATGGAGAATAAATTCTAAATAATATTGCTGATTAAATAAGGACAATTCAAAAGAGAGGAGACCCTATCATTTGGAATAAAAACCATCTCTATAAAGGAAAAAAAAAAGGAACAAAAATTAGGCCACAGTAGAAAAAATATAATGCAAAAATCAGTATCTCATTAAAAAGCAAATATGATCATTAAACATTCATACAAAAGAAAGCACTGTGCTTAAGTTGAATGCTCAATAGTATAACTGCTCAATACAATAGGTGTCTCCAGAGTTCAGTCCCAGTTCCATGCTGTACAGAAAAAAATCCCACCTGAAATATGGAGACGTGCCCCACTATTGAAATGCCATAGTTGGCACTACTTCATTTTACTACACATCAATGCAAGATCAACTGCCAGGACCTTCTACCACATTCAAAGTTGTTCTCAGCTTCCAGATCTGTTGCCTAACATTAGTCTTCCTGCATGTAAAAACTTCCCAAAAGGATAGACGCTCCACAGATTACCTCCAGCAGGCCTGACAGTGGTTAATAACTGGGACATTTACTCTAATCACAAGATAGGCCAAAGTAATAATTAGCTGGCAGTTGGAAGTCTGGAAACAAGCAGCAGGTCACTATGTTGGTGAAAAATTGCAAAGAAAGCATTGGTGGATTAAGTGGTATTGACCTGGTGCAAACAAGATTTTTATAGCAAGATTTGAGAAAGAAGATGTAAGTGATAATGACACAAAGCAGTCGATCACAAAATAAGGCCACCTTCACCATATTATAAACTGTAGAACCATTCTGATCTTCAAGTTTGGATTTGTGTAGAGGTTTCTGTATAAAGAATTAACACCTAAGAGTGAGTCTCCTTTAGAATGAGCCTTTGCACTTGATGGTATTCTCTTCACCAGGAGTGCTTATCTCCCTTGATTCTTCACATGGTTTGGTCCTTCTAGGTCAGGTGTTAGCTTGAACATCACTTCCTTAGAGGCCTTCCCGATGTCCTACCTGAAGCATCCCATCTGTTATTCTCTAGCACAGTACCCTGTTTATCTCCTTCACAGGATGATTACAGGTTAGAATAACTGCTGTCTCAGCAAAGGCAGGAACTGTAGCTGTCTTGTTCACCTTTACTCAAAGGCTAAGAAAGTTCCTGGCACATAACAGGTGAACAATAAATATTTGTTGAATGAGTAAAAAAATTACTATAGCAAATTTTACATGAACACATACATATACACAAATATATAGGAAAATGGGGGAGTATCCAATAGAAAACAACCAAATGCTGAAAGTATCGAAAACGATACCTGTACATACAGGTGAATATGGTCTCAAAGAACAAGTACCAAAGGTATCTATCTTCAAAAATATGAAAATTTACGAAAAAAGGATCAGGAGTGGTATTTTCCATTTCTATTAAGATGCAAACAAGAAGAAATGTCTACATTGCAATGAGTCAACATTAGACATAATAATAACTTGCTGCAGAATGGACTCCCAACAGAGCTGCTGGAATCTCCTCTCACTGTAGAGCATAAAATATGGTCAACCACATACCCAGGATTAGTTAAGATCAGCTCAGACTGCAGGTAATTATAAGCTAAAAAACTTGCTAAACAGTTTCTCCCCCAATTTTAAAAATTCTGAATTCTTAATTATGTAAAATAACATTCAATTTATAAATTGAATACAACATACTTTAAAAACAGATGGCCCTTAACTGCTGATCATACCTCAGCATCACTTTTCTAGGTATTTTTGCAGAAGCAATTACATTTATAAAAGGTCCATTTCATAATACAATCTGGTAAGTAAGTCAAATGAAGCTACTTAAATCAAAGAGCAGAAGGCCTGCTGCTGAAATATTTTAAAATACCTTTTAAAAAATGGTATTTATATTTATAGATTGGCTTTAAAAAGGATAAATATACTGAAGTAATTCTAGCATATCCCTGAAAACAATTATACTGCCACTTGTGCATTCGTTATGAGAATACGGAAGGTTAAATCAATACACTGATAGGTTACACAAGTCAATTATTATCTGTTGAAATCTGGTTCTAAGACAAGGGAACTTACTCTGCATGAACTTTTACTGGACCCAGAATTAACTGGTGCCAGCAGTGTCAGCACAATTGGCAATGATGTCACGCTGCACTGTTTTGGTATCAGAACAAAAGTGGGATGAAGAAAAGAGGCTTGGAAAGGTTTTCAGTATGGTTTCCTTATAATGAGATTTAGCAGAAAATAAACAAACATAAAAAGAATGACTGTTAAGCCCGACTGAACACATTAAAATCATAGATTTCAAAAGTTAATCCACTTTTCTTCCCCCAAGAGTTTATTTTTGGTAAAAGGCAGAAAAATTAGTTTTTCCACAAGGAAAATCTGCTTCTAGATGATAATTTGAAAATCTTGATATATATTATATATTAAAAAAGACACAAAAATAACGGAGAAGTGGGAATAACAGATTAGGTACTGTAACTTTATAAAGGCTTGCCTAGATCATGAAGCAGTACACACACACACCTCATTTATGCAAACTAAAATGTATATAAACGGCACAATACTGCGATACTGGGTCATGATACATTACCTGTACACATAACTACTACTGTTATTAATAAACCTTTGGGACACTCAGTCTTATGCCCAACAAGATACCATTAAGTCTTTAAATCTTCTTTTCCCCCTTAATGGGAAGACACTTCTAGACACTAATTTTCCCATCTAATATTCAAATATAGGAAACAGATTTCCACAAGGTGCTTTAACTGATGAGACCTCAAGTGCTGTTTTCTCTCTGGAATTTTTGGATAGCAAACAGTCCATCGAGACCATACACAAATACTATGACAGAAGAGTTGTTACATTAAGTCTTTTGATGGGACTCAGTTGGTGATGAGCTTTATGACATGCTTGAGCAACGCACTGAAGGGGATCCCATCTGAGTTAATACTTTGTCCAACCACTGTAGAGGTCCATTCAGATGAAGTTCAATCCAGCAAGGAGTACTTGTTACCGTCTGTCTTCTGTTTGAAAGAATACAAGAAAATAATCATGAAATTAAGAGAACAACATGGCTTTATTTAGGAATCTGCATTAAGAATTCAGAGAAATTTAAATGCTGTATTAGCCAGGTATGGTGGTACACACTTATAGTCCCAGAAAGCTGAAGTGGGTGTGGTCACTTAAACCCAGGACTTAAGACCAACCTGGGCAACATAATGAGACCCTGTCCCCACCCATGACATGTCCGTGCCCCCCCCAAAATAAAAATATCCCTCTATATACTAAAATCTAACTCCTTTTTTGGATGATTTTGAATATGATTATTATTTGGAAAAATGGATGATTTTCAAAGTATTGCAATGATTTTTTTTCTTCTTGAGAGATTTTTAAAAACATTCTTTTCTGAAATTAAAATTAGTATGTTGTTTGCAGGCACCTGGATGAAGCTGGAGAATATCATGCTAAGCAAAATAAGCCAATCTCCCAAATCCAAAGGCCAAATGTTTTCTCTGATATGTGGATGCTAATTCACAATAAGGGGAGGGTAGAGGAAAACAGAGGTACTTTGTATTGGGCAGAGGGGAGTGAAGGGAGGGGAGGAAGTGTGGGGTAATAAAGGATAGTAGAATGAATCAGACATTACTACCTTATTTACATAAATGATGGCACAACTGATGTGATTCTACATCATGTACAATCAGAAAAATGAAAAATTATACTCCATGTTAGAACAACAACAAAAAATTTAGCATAGTGACTTCCCAAGAGGAGAGATATGAACTAGGAAAGACTTCCCCAAACTGAGAAATGTGGAAACCTTACACATTAAATCAATCAGACTAGTAGACACTCAAAATATTGAATGGAGTTTAAATGAAACAGGGTTCAAATTTAAAATATATCAAAACAAAACAGATTTCCCCTTTGGTATCAGGGATTGAACCCAGGGTGCTTACTCACTGAGCCACATCCCCAGCCCTTTTTATTTTGAGATAGGATCTTACTAAGTTGCTGAGGCTGGCTTTGAATTCTCAATCCTCCTGCCTCATTTCAAGTCACTGGGATTATAGGCATGAACCACCACGCCCAGTATCAAAATAGAATTTTGACCCAAACAAAATTCTCACCACAGAAGACTAAGTTCAACTTTCTCTGAAAGAGCCAGTGAACAACATCCCTTTGGCAACATCACTGAGGCTTTTGCTTAAACACCACCTCTAGTACTTCAACAAAAAGGGCTACTCCCTGGGAATCACAAATTATTCAATGACATCCTGTCTCTTCTAAAGAACTCATTTTAGTTCTTTCTTATTCACTATATAGAATAAGTCAACAAATCTACTTTTGCTTTTTTAACATAATGGCCCTTTAAACATGACACAAGTCCATTATCAACTCTTCATCTCCAAACTTTAAAATCAGATTCACTCAACATTGATTTGGTATTCTCATTCTGGTACATATGCTGGTGGGAAAAGTATACAAACTATGCCTTTAAGCTTTCCAAAGTGGAATTTGAAAAAATTTTTAAATGTTTAAATTTTAATGAGTTCATTCATAGAAAGACGAAGGCAGTGCTTCTAGGCACCAGAGTAAACACATTGTCAATCTGTCATTCTGAAAAAGAAATATGCCTAACATTGTTGAAAACTATTTCCAAGGATGTGACTTTCTGTAGCAGATGGCATCAGTGCCCCACTCTACCTTCAGATTTCCAGTGTGCTCTAGCCAATTTCCAACTGCAGGTTTCTGAATTTCTATGCTTGAGAACTTCCATGCTATGCCTGTAGTGCCAAGAAACTGGCATCAGCTGACATGGGTAACTAATGAGAACTACTTATTCAAATGGTCTCAACTAATTTGTCCAGTTTTATTTTTCTCTATTCTCTAAACTCCACACCAAACTGCTACTGCTACTCTGTTGTCAGGATTACAGATTTCCACACCACCCATCCCCATCTACTGAAATCTTATGCACCTTTATCTCTACCAGAAAGCCTTCTATGAGCCCCACAATTCTCCTTTTATGAACTGAAACAATCCTTCAGGTATACCCCTTTTATAATATTTAACTTTCTGCATTATGTTAAAATGCATGTCTGCATATTTTAATCATATCTTCTCTATAATGCCAGCATACTAATTTACAACAGTTTTGATCTAGAAGCCCTCAACTTTCACTGTTTTACAAAAAGATCTGATGACTCCACACCTCAATGAAAATAGATATAATGAAGATCCAAAATAATGGAATAAAAAATAATTACATTATAGAAATGTAGGAAACAAATATGTATTTCTTACCGATATTCTGCTCCCCATCCTTTCACAAAACTCATTCTTATGGTGCACATTCTAGTTAATTGGTACACGGCTTCAAAACCCTGATTAACAGACTGAGCCAGAAGAGCAGCAAATTCCTGGTTGTTGAAGATCTTCAGGTTACAGCCTAGGATTGAGAAAAAGTATGACTGTAAAAGCTGTATTGTTCTTAGAAAACAATTTTAAAAGGACAATAAGGTTTTATTTAGAACATGAGCATGCAAAGCATCACCTGAGTCCTAAAATTATTAGCAACTACAAAAACTAAGCAAGTTGATGTGACAGGTTTATTTACATTGTTGAGTCCATACCTGGTGGAATTTTACACACTGTTGCAGGGTGCCAGCCGTATCTCTGATTACAATTGGGGCTCTGCACAAAGATTGCACTATCACTTAGGCACTCAGCAAAAACTTCCCCACCTATGTAATATAAGCGCACTCCTCTTCCTAAAACAAAATACATATGGGGTTAGTCTTATAACACTTAACTATTTCAGTGTGATTTTGGGAGAGTCTTCTTGGAAAAATTCTGAAATGATATAAGGTATTGCATGACTTTTTTTTCACAGCCATGTTTTTCTGAATTCTAACTTTGAAATATACCACTGTATATTTTTTAAGTATTTTTTTAACAATGTTTTTAAAATATGTATTTATAAAAAATACATAAACTATGTAAAAAAGGTACAAGGATAATTCAATAGTTTCATACAAATTATGCATTATTTTGAAATCAGTAAAAGTAACTGAGTTAACTTCAAAGGAATTAACATACTTGGACAAATATTTCTTTATTAGTAGTAGTATTTCCTTATAGATCCCACTAAGGTTTAAAAAAAAGATTTAAAAAAAAAATCAAAGTTAAAAATATATATATTTATGGTGGCAACCAAATCTCTAAATATATAAGCAGAATTAGGTAAGAAAAATTATATTGGCTATTTTAATAATTCATTCTGAATTTGACCAAAGTCACGGCTGCTACTGAGAGATTTTGTCAGATATAATTAAGGCAGAAATCAACTGACTTTAAGAAATGGAGATTATCTTTGTTATACAGCAAGAAAACTAATAAGATAACCAACAAACCAGATTTAACAGACAAATGCAAAAATTAGTATTTATTCCATTAAGAGACTATTCTATTATTAATAAGACTATGGAATATTTGTGAAGCAGTCAATCATGTTTTCAGGAAACATTAAATCTCCAAAGTGGATTTTTCAGGCTATATTCTCCAATATATATGCATTCTCTGGTCATATGATAAGTTAGAAATCAAAAGTAAAAAGATGATCTGAAATTGAAGCAAAAATTTTATTTGGAGAAAAGAAAAGAGTAGATGCAAATAAAAGTATAGGTGGGAACTAAGGGTTCCTCACTTGCAATGACACCTGGATACTTTAACAAGAATATCCAAATTTATATGTCAAGCAAGATTTGCCACGTTAAGTCAAGTAACAGAACCCCTAGGCACTACCATTTTACAGTTATCAATCACTATGGTAAATCAGCATTATTTCTTTAAGGATGTGATTTAATTCAAACAAAACAAAAATAAACTGCCTTTTGTCAAAAGAAGCTACCTTAAGGTAATAAGAATACTTCTCAATTATTAGTGGCTTTCAATTTTTTTGACCTTATTATTAAAAAAAAAAAAAATACTGAGGACCCCAAAGGGTTTTTGTACGTGTGGATTATATTTGTAGAAACTTATCACATTATATGTTAAAATAAGATTTTTTTAAGTACTCATTTAAAAATCAATCTTATAACTTATTAATGTAAATAATAAGTATATAAAAAAGAACTATATTTCCCAAACCGCAAAACAAATATGAAGAGCAGCAATGTTTCACAGTTCTGCAAATTTCTTTAATGTTTGACTTAACAGAAGAGATGAATTCTCATAACATATCTCATATCTTGCAAAACTGTATACCTTGAAGCCTCTGCGACAATTCAGTGTACATTTCTGAGAGGATGAGAGTGAAAAATGGCAAGTAACATCTCAGCACCATTATGAAACACTTGTTACCTCACAAACTTACTGAAAGAGTATCTGGTACTGCTAGACCCCCAGACCACATTTTAAGACACTCTGAATAATATTTTGAACCATATTAAATGTCAGTTCTTGTCTTAGAGATCTAGCCTCAGATTAATAGTGAGAAAGATCTGGTTTGATATATGAAGTCATAGAAGGAGCAAAACCAAAACAAGATATCAACAATGAAAACCCAGGAGATATAAATTGGAGGGAAAAAATCATGATTTATAAAAATCAGAACCCAAAAATCTAAACATAACAATTTCATGACTGGCGAAGATTCAGAAAGTTACAATTATTTTAACACATGTTTAATGAAGGACTTCCTCATATCAAGGTTGCCAAATAAAGAGAAAGTCAAAGCAGAGTTTGTAGAATGAAGTCTCAACCAAGACTAATAGAAGTGAGGCATATGAACTTAAAGAGTGGAGAGAAGGATGGCATTTTCACACTCAGGTTCTTGATGTTGTAACCACATAAGGTCCATATGAACATACAGCACTGTTTTTTCACATAAGGAAAATAAAACATACCTATATGCCTTCTTGTCATTTCTACTGTAGCATTTCGGTTAACATTAGAGAGCAAACCTAAGCAGAACCTCTCTGAATTTGATGGGTCTGTAAAGCCATCTACAGTGAGCGAGGGCTGTGATGCATGGAAAGTCTCTCCAACCCTCTGGTTTAATTCATAATATGCTATTGAACACCAAAACGCAGGTTCTGAGTAAGTAACTGGCTGCAAATCTGGGGAAAAAAAGAAATAAGCAAAAGGAAGAAATGTTGTACCAACAATTCAAACACAAACTTCATCATCATCTTCATATGCTCTATGACAACATCAACTCTATGCCAGTTCAAGAGGTAGAAGTGCTATCTCTATTGGTTTCCATACCAGATTTTCCATTTTTCAAATTTCCCCATCTCATGAGGTCACTTATGTTAGATTATTTATTAGTAGTTTTAGCCTATTTCCTATTCAAACATAAAACAGCCACAGTCAAAAGTAAGTCAACTCACCATACTTGGTGCATTTCTGATAATGCACAATGAAGGTAATTTTTGGTAGACTAAGTAGAATAAAGCTGGTGCAACATTAATGAATCAAGAGCCACAAGAAAATGTGTCATAACAAAAGGATACAAAGTATGACATTTTTAGACATTTGTCTATTTTCACACAAAGTTCTTGACAAGTTATCTTTGTAGATAGAAAACTACAATAGAAAACTCATGTAGCACATATAAGAATAAGAAAGTAATAAAACAGTATTCAAGTGGAAACAGAATATGCCTGCAAGAGACTTTTCACAAGAAAATAAGGATCACATGTACTTCTGTAATTTTGACTAAAACATATCACAAGAAATACTATGAAAAAAATTGACAATTTTGTAGAATAAATTCCAAACATGTAGCAGCTGAAGAGGAACTGTCAAGTGGCAAGGCAAAGTGGAGGCAAAAAAATAAAGACATGTATACACACTCTCACTCATATATACCCTTCCATATGTTTTATGTACTCATCACACACACTCTTATATTAGTTGCTGCTACAAGATATATCATAAACATATCCATAGAAATATATCCATAACAGGCTAAAAATTTTTCCATAAAGAACATTTCCATGAATAAAAGAATATTTGATATATTCTTATACATTTTCAGTAATATTGAGACCCATTATCAATTTTTTAAAGCAGTCTTTAAAACCATTTGCCTAATTATTTTATTCATTGGTATTCTTATACATGAAAAATAATTTTCAGAGTGAACTTTTCTTAAGTGATAAAACAGAGGGGGAAAGAACTGGTAACTTACCCAGGCTATGATTGACAGGGGAGAGAGTAGTAGGAGACAGTTCTGCTGGAGAGCCTAAAACAAAAGGAGTCAATTTAAAAATAGATATTTAAGTGTTCCTAGAACTGTTGATTCTGATCAAGTACAAAAACCCCAGTTGTATCTGGCTGTAATTATCACCAATAATACACAGATAATTAAATCCCCAGAATTCAAAATACATTAACGATTTTATTTTAGTTTAATTTGGGAGCTTCAATATATAAAAGACACAAAATCATATAAACACTATTGGCTTATTATCTGGTTTCCCCTTCCAGAAGAATCCACTATTAATGATTTGTGTACTTTGCAAAAATAGTCTGTGAGTCATAAGTAAATTTATTTTTCTTCTGTGCCTCCTCTTTTCATACACAAATAGCTCAGTTCTAAACTTCTAGACTACTCTCAGAAACTTCATATTAGTGTTTCCTTGTCATTTACTTGTCTATTTACCTATGCATCAGCACTATAAAATTACATCATGATCCTATATTTAGAGATATTCAGGCTACTCTTGATTTTTCGAACATTTTGTGTACTACCAATCACATCTGAAGTATACTCTGGTTTAAACATTTTTGTCTTTGATAATATTTTGTAAAATTATCATTCACAGAATTTATACCAAATTACATTTCCAGTAAAAATACAAATGGTGAGGAGATATCATGATGATACTGTTGATACATGAAAACATGGTTTTTAACTACAATTTTAATTCACACTGAGGAGCGTTATGCTTATTTATATTGTATTTCCTTTCTGTGAACAGTCTTTTTTCTTAGCTCATTTTTCTGTAGATATTGGTCATTTTTCTTACTTATTGAACAGGCTCTTCAAGTATTAGAGAACTAGTCTCTTCATGGTAAGGTTTGCAAATATTTGGTCACCTGTTTCATGACTCAATTCTAATTTTGAGCATGCAGCATTAAAAAAGTCCTTTTACATATGATTTGCCAATCATCTGGGTGTTTGTCTTACTTTTGACTTTAAGGTACTGCTTTTAGTATTTTCCTACTAAGCATGATACAAGACTTGATGCTAAGAAAGATAATTACTCAGGATTTTGGTATCAATAGCCTCAAGCAATACAGGTGTAGATTGCCATATCTGTAAGGTTTTGTAATCATTATTTTGACAATCTACAAGTTTTGTCTTTTTCTATGCTCTGCAACAGTTTAAAAATTGTGTTATAAAATCACATTCTTTAAAAGTTTGGTAAATTCCCTCATGAAACTGTTTGCAGTTAACGATTTTCTGGAAATTACTCTGAGACATTTCTCTATTTCTCCCATGGACGTTGGTTTAAGATAGGTGTTTCTTGGAATTAGTTTTGTTAAATTACATTTTCTGAGGAAATTATCTGATTCTTTGTGTTTTAACAAGTTAGATCTAATCAAAAAGAGGGCACAAATACACAAAATAAGAAAAAAAGAATGAACAAACTCTAGATAAGAAAGAAAAAAAATCACTGAAATGACATTACTCAATTTCATGTGACTTTTAAGACATATTTGTTGAAAATGCTAAATAATGCTATTATGATTATAAATATAGAATCAATTTCATTTATGATCATCATTCTCTATATTTAGGCAAAGTTACCTTGAAGAACATGAGATCTCCCAAGCTTAAAATGCATGTGGGAGATGGTAGCTTCAAGCAGTCCACTCCACCACACACCACCATAACCACAACACAAAGGGCAGGCCACAAAGGAGAAATGGCAGCCCCAAAATAAAGAGACACATCAGAAGAACAGATGATGACAGTATTTTAGAACCCAGAATAGCCTTCCTCCATAAGTTACATTCTTTATTATTCCTCAGCCTGAAAAATCTTCTGGCAAGTCACAACAGGTACAACTAAGAAAGGTCAAAATATATTTAGAACAATGAATTTAAATTCAGTGCTATTTCCTGAAGCAGACATAAGATAAACAAACTATCAGAAATGGAGGAAATTGCCCATTATTCGTATTTCTTAACTGTTTACTCTTCTATTAAATACTTATTTGAAATGACCAGTAGCGTCACTGTTCATTAATTTGGACTAATTAAGAGTTTAGTCAGATTCTTTACAGAACTAGGAAAAGTGGTCCTAAAATTCAGATAGAAAAAAACTGGATATACATACGTAGAAGAATAAAACTAGATCCCAACTTTCACCCAGCACAAAAGACTCAAATCAAAGACCTAAAAATTTGTAACTGCTAGAAGAAAACATAGGCTCAACAGTAACTACAGTTTCCTCTAATAGTTCCTTCCATTTCTAATAGTTAGGGAACCTCTTTAAGACCTCTAAAGCTTAAGAAATAAAACTAAGGCTCAATAAGTGGGACAACATCAAATTAAAAAGCTTTTGCACAGCAAAGACATTAAGAGTATGAAGAAAGAGCCCATAGAATGGGAAGAAATTTTTGACAGCTAAACAAAGAAATTTTTGACAGCTGACTCCTCTAACAGGGAATTAACACCCAGAATATATCAAAAATTCAAAAAACACCAGAGCAGCAAATAATCCAATCAATAAACAGGCAAAAGAACTAAACATGCATTTCTCAAAGGACTAAATACAAATGGCCAACGAATAAATGAAAAAATGTTCAACATTCCTAACAATCAGGGAAATACAAATCAAAACTAGACTGAGATTTCATCTCATTCCAGTTAGAATAACCATCATCAAGAATACAATTAATAATAAATGCTGGTGAGGATGTGAGGAAAAGGTACATTCATACATTGTTGGTAAGACTGCAAATTTATACAACCACTTTGGAAAGCAGTATGAAGAGTCCTCAAAAGACCAGAACTGCCACCATCTGTCCCACTCCTTAATATTTACCCAAAAGAACTAAAATCAGCATACCATAGTGATACAACCACATCAATGTTTATAGCAGTGCAATACAGCAGACAAATTATGGAACCAGCCCACCAACAGATGAATGGATAAGAAAATATGGTACATGTACACAGTGCAATTTAACACAGCCATGAAGAAGAATGAAATTATGGCATTTTCTGGTAAATGGATGGAACTGGAGAACATCATACTAAATAAAATAGGCCAGACTCAGAAAGTCAGAGACTGAATGTTTTCTCTCATACGCAGAATTTAGATGAGAGGAAAAAAAAAAAAAAAAAACCACAAGGGGGGTATGGGTCCCATGAAAATAGAAGGTAGATTAGTGGAGTAGAGAAAAGAACTGAGATAAAGGAAGGAGTGATGGGAAATAAAGGGAAGAAGTGTGCAATGAAATTCACCAAATTATGCTATACACATAAACGAATATACTACAGTGATTCCACCTTTATGTGTATCTATAAAGCACCAATTAAAAATAATAAACAGAAGGAAGACCAGCAAAGGAAGGTGAACAGGAGGAGGGAAGAGAAGAAGGAAAGAGGAAGCACTAGGGATTTAAATGAAGCAAATGATATTCCATGTGTGTATGAACTGTCAAAATGAACCCACTATTATATATGTAACTACGACGCACTATCATAAAAGAGTTCAGTCAGATGTGACAAGTTAGTTTCACATATTTTATAAAAAGAATCGCTCATTATAAAAATTTAAATAGCTTCTAACAGAAGCTATCAAAAAAACTTAAAGACAAATAATAATTAGCCTATGGATGATTCATACATACATGTTGCTACTTAATTCTGGCCTACCAACAGACTTTCTAGGTATGCAAGTACTATGTAGTCTATTTTAGCCAGTTTGAATCAGCAGTGCCTATGATTTGCAGCTAAAACATCTAGCAAAATCCTTGTGTACGCTTTGGATACAAGTTCACATATATTTTGAAGGATACATTCTTCAGAGAGAAATGTTAAAGATATTAATATAAGTAAGTGCCCAAAGAGGTAGTCCTCATGTGACTTACCCCCTAAATTTTTTCTTCTGTCTCCCCAGTCACAGTGCAGGATCTTTCATGGTCATCTTCACCTTCAAGCAAACTTAGTACTGATGCTGCCTCAGTGACATAAGCCCCCCCCCACTCCCCGCCACCGCCACCACTACTAAGGCCTTTGCATGTAAGGTCATGTATGTAGTATGCTTGCATACAAGTTCATATATATTTGTAGGGCACATTTTCAAAGAGGGAATGTTAGATAGTTTCTTAAGTGCTAAAGTAATCTCTTGGTGTTTAGTTTCCCCAAGAATTTCTGAGCTAGTGTTTCATTGCACTGTCACTCCATATTGACATCTACCAATTTAACAAGTTTGAAGGAGGAACTCTTAACAAAAAATTTTGCGGAGACACTGGGGATTTAACCTAGGGGTGCTTTACCATTGAGCTACACCCCCAGTCCTTTTATTTTTTTTTATTTTGAGATAGAGTGTTGCTAAGTTGCTTATGTATGGCCTCCCGAAGTTGCTGAGGCTAGCTAGCCTCCTGAGTTGCAGGAATTGCAGGAATGTTCCACCAAACCCAGCATGTATCAATTTCTGATTTTTGTTGTAAATATCACACATTCTTTTTTGTCCATTTTTCTATTAACTACTATATTTTCCCTCTTGATTTGCAAATTTTTAAAATTCAGAATCAGTTCATAGAACTGCCTTTATAAATGTTTCCCCCAGTCTTTGGATCTGGTTTGGTGGTTTTGTTGTTGTTGTTGTGCTGGGGATTGAACCCAAGGCCTTGTGCATGTGAGGCAAGCACTCTACCAACTGAGCTATTTCCCCAGCCTTGAATTGGTGTTTCTTTCAAAGTGACATTGTTTTTTTTTTTTTTTTCTTACTCTTAAAAACAAAAACAAAAAGAAAACACACACACACAAAAAAAAAAAAAATGGGTATTTTTGTTTTGTGTTTAACTAGGGACCGAAAGCAGGGAGCTTTATCACTGAGCTACATTTCTAGCCTTTTTTTAAGACAGGGTCTTGCTAAATTGAGTCTAGTCTCAAACTTACAATTCTGCTTCAACCTTCAGAGTTGCTGGGATTACAAGCATGTGCCACCACACCTGTCAATACTTTATTTTTTACAGTAATTTGAGGTTCACAGCAAAACTG